TTCAGCCTTGACATGGACCAGGCTCTCCTTGGTGGCACGCAGCAATGGGACAAGAGGAAAGGGCAGGAACTGATGCCCAGAAAGCTCCACCTGACCATGAGGAAGAACCTCTTTACTGGGCAGTGACCAAGCACTGGATCAGATCACCCAGAGAGGGTTCAGAGTCTCCCTCACTGGAGACATTCCAGACCCATCTGGACACAATCCTGTGCTGTGTGCCTTGGGTTAACCCTCTTGGAGCAGGGAGCTGGGACCAGATCAACCCTGTGGCCCCTTCCAACCTGACCCACTCTGTGATTGTGACCTCCCCAACTCCTTCCCTGTGTGGTTAACTTTGTTTCTGCCTGTAACCTGGCAGAACTTCAGGCTAATGATGATGGTAATGCTGCTTAAACTAGCAGACATTGTTTAACTTAATTAATCCTTCTGCATTTCTCCACAGCCTTGCTCAATGACAAAACAACTGCTGACAGTGGAGACCTGCAAGAAATATTATATGTTTTAGCACTGTACCTTTGGACCCAGAATAATAAGCACATAAAAGAGATATATGTGTATTTCTAATGCCACCTTTTAAAGCAATTGCTTAAAAGAATCCTGCTTTAGCAACTCGGAAATGTAATTCTTGACCTTCCTGAGTAATCATGCTAATATCAGGAGAAGTTGCAATTATTCAGTTGTGCAAAAAAGAAGGTACTGTTTGTACTCAAAAGTGGAGCACTTAAATATAAAGAGAGACCAAAGGAGGAATGTGAGTATTCCCTGGCCACTCCAGAGGTGAGTCATGGCAAAGGGTTCCCAATCTCAACAGGATGTGGCAGGGACAGGGAGAGTGCTCCTATGCCCCCAAAATGTGAAGAACACGAATTTGAGTCATCCAGCTCCAGCAGGGCACAATCCAGATCTCAGTCAACAAAGAGATCCTCTACTCTCTACAATTCCCTGGCTAATTCCCAAGACACATTACAGCTTTACAGGAAGGGAAGAAAAGCTTCATTCACTTTCATTAAACAATCTGCTTTATTCCCAGGAGAAATTTTATCCTAAGGGAAAGATACCAGCTCCACAGAACGCAGTAAAGTGTTCCCACTTGCACAGGGATGTTCATTCAAATTCTGCAACTTCCACACACCTTTGCAGAAAGATCTCCTGGCTCACATTTTCTAAGATTTTTTTAGCTAGAGGCTACTTAATCTGGACTAAAACATTGGGAGTGAAACAGCAGCAACAGAGCAAGACAATCAAGCTGTTCTATTCAAGATCTCCAAGAAAGAAATGGGATATTGGGAGTGTAAGAAAAACTTTGTCTTCTTGCCCTGTGGAGAGCAGAGCATGACACAGAATTTCACAGCCATGACAAGGAGGAGGAAGAAAGAAACTCCAAGCTGGTGTGCAGATGGACTGACTCTGCTTTCTGAAGCAGAAAGGAGGTGTATGAAACTTCCCATGTTTGGTCTCTTTATGTTCTTTTTTGCAAAACTGATGTCAAGTAAAACATTGCACAGTGGTGTCTGTATCACACAAGATCTCAGTGCTTTCCACAATCTATAAACCCCTGCCATATCATGCTTTATCACACACCAGGCTTTCCATAGTATCATGTGACAAGAATTTCCCTTCGCAGAGGATCCCAGGGAGTCTTTAAAGACTTTAATCAACCTCCTCCACATATTAAAGAAAGATGGAATTAAGTCAGTGTGCTTATGCTTTCTGTGTAGGCAAAGATATAAACATCTCCAAGTTACAGATGAACAGATAGTCTCAAAACATTTAAGCAAGAGAAATTGAGGAATTAAGATATTTTGTTAGACAGGTATGCAGAGGCTGGCATGCCAAACACACAGAATCAAAGCTGACAGAGATGGGTAGAGTGACTCACATTCACAAGGAACTTGACTTTGTCACCCAGCTCTCCCAAAACAGCAAGCACAGTCTGAAAAGTGCCTAAGAAAAATTGAGGCCACAAACACACAGAGCAATATGATGCTTTTTTAATCAGGTTTTCAATCACAATGTAATTTTTTGCCCACCAACACACTCAAACACAGACATTTTAAAATTATTTATCTACAAAGAGGAACAAAATGATTTAAAGAGCTCCAGTAAATTCTGAGCAAATCTCTTCTGATCTTCTCCTTGGGAGTCTGCTCAGACACATATAAATTTTATTTGCTTCTATTTCACAAGACAAGAAGAGGCTGGGTTGTAGATAACCTTCTGTTCAAGCTCAGCATATCTTTTCAGAAGTGGACGATAGAGCTAAAAAGGAAAAAGAAATAAATACGTCTGATTGAAAAATTAGATTTTTAAATTACACTGCAGTTAAAAAGCATCTTCAGACATGAAAAATGCAGCATCTTCACAAGTATCTGAAGGTTTGGGCTGGTTTTTCCCCAATTTGCTCATGAAAGTGCTGCAGAGTTTTCCCTCTTTAAATGTCACAATCCTTTTTACCATCACCTTTACAGCTTAATTTTATGGCACGCACAGGTTGTGCTTGTGTGACTGGGTTCTTGCTATAAGCAGAAGCCATTACTTCCAGCAGAAGCAGCTCAGCTAAAGTCACCTCTCCCAGTGTGACATGCCCCCTCAGTAATAGCTGTGCTAATCACCCAGGCAGAACTCCTGTCCTTGCCTCCCTCCACTGCCCCAGGATGGATCACTGCCTCTGTCTCCTCCTCCTCTGCCTCGCTAATCTCCCCACTGCACCCTCCAGCACAGTCAGCTGGGTCCTCCTTGGCCAACGTGCTGACCAGGGCCTTCTAAAATTCACTTCACACTCCCTCTCAGACTCCTGTACCTGTTTGAGCTGCTTCTCTAATACACATCTTTCACAGCCACAACCTTTCCCATCCCCAGGCTGCTCCATGGCCATGTCCTTGGCTCCCCAGACCCACAGGGACAAATGCAGACCCAGCTTTTATCCACAGCTACACCAAGTATCTGAGTATCTTGTTTGTATTTTCCTAGTTAGAATTTTCCAGCAGTTTTTAGCTACAGTATTGTTACAACCATAAAAAGAAGAACCAAGACTCAAATGTATTCAAAACCCCAGACTCCTGACACTTTTGGATATGGGTGAGATCCATGACATGAGAAACCCCGAATAAAACTCTACTCTGGCTCCAACCAAAAACTTCATCTAGATCTTGGAGATGCACCTTTCTCCTTATCTCCTCCCTCTGGTGTTAACTGTCCCTCTAATAAAATCAGTGCTGTGACAAACCATACCAGGACAGCTTTGCACATTTGCTGGCTCCAGCACAAGGAAAGAAATGCCAGGAGCCAGTGCAGGGTCTGGTACAGGCTTGAGCAGTCCCTAGGAGGATGCCATAAGGTCACATCCCTGCCACAGTGAATCCCAGAGGCTGCCAGTCTGGTCTGCAAGCCCTCTGCACTGACTCATAATCAGGGCAGCCTCACTCCCAGCTCCAGGTTCACAGAGGTTATAGAGCCATAATGAATCATAGCCAGCAAACTGAATTACTGCTCTCATCAGTAAGAGAGATCCAGCATTTCAATGCATTTTATCCTTTTCAGGACGGCCAAGAACAGTGTGTGTACATGTATGAAAAATTCAGGAGGAAAATGTTTCAGGTGTAAACTATGGGGATGTAGAGACCAGCTCCTTCCTGGGCAGGTCTCTGTACAGTCCTGCAGTAGCCTCAGTGTCTGTAACAGCCACACTTTCCCAGATTAAAAATTAAAAAAAAAAATCACAAAGTTTACTCACCTAGGAAATAAAAAACAGTGGGTTTTTGTTTTCTGTTTCAGCTGATGGCAAAATACCCAGTTTGTATGTTTCCCTTCTGCTGAATGATAGTTTAAGATAGACCAGTGAAAACTGGATTTATCTCTTCATTCCCATTTCCATGTTCCATAACAGCAGGTGGAAGTGACTTAATGGACAAATTCTGCAGATGGATCCAGTTTTGACCAATTCCTTCCTTTTTACAAACCAGATGCTATAGAAATTAAAGTTTCATTTCTACATTTCTATAACAGAGTACGTATATGAAGGGGTAGAAGAGAAGGAGCATGCACAGCAAGTGGAAAGAAACACTGTTCATTAGCCAAGACACCAACCAAAAAATGGTTTTTAAAGCCATCTCACAGTGACTGAGTCTTACAGTGTCTTCCACTGATTAAAGCAGAGAATCCTACTCACTCCTGCTCTGCAAAAGATTCATTCAGTGACCCCAGGTCAGGCATTTAACATGTGTGTGCCCCAGCTCCTCTTCTCCACAGGACAGTGATACTGAGTTCCTGGAGGTTTATGCAGATTTATGGGGTTAGAAAATAAAATGCACCACTATTATGAAATGTCACATTACTCAGCATGGTATTTTTAAGTAACTACATGAGGGCCTGGAGTGTTCAGAGAAGTACATATATATATTCTTCTCATGTTCCCAAAGAACATGAACATATTGCTCTCATTTCTGGTAAATATGCACATCAGAGTAAACAAAACATTGAGTAGGCAACTATGGCTATACTGGGAGTATCAGTATTTCAAATAAAACCAGCTCCTCTATTCACTGAAGCATCTGTAATGAAGACTGGCTATTTCTTACTCCACTATTCTGTAAATTTGATAAGTGCTAAGTGCTTCTCAGCAAAGATTCAAACACAGCAAAGCTGAATTGGTAAGTGAGCTCAGGCATTGAGAAAGCAGGCTCCATATTATTTGCCCATCAGTATTTTTACAAAATGCACACAACGCATTTACCAGAAGGCTGGGAAGTATTATTGTTAATACATCACTCTAAATTAAAATGTGTCAAAATAAATGAACAACCACATTTACTGACACAGTTTCTTTTCCTGTTTATTGGACTTAAGCACTTAGCTTGCTAATTGAGAAAATTCAGGCATTTGCAATAAGCTTCTCAGTCATTAGTGTAAATGAATCCTGCATTATGGACCATAGGAAAAAAAATTGCAAACAAACAGTTAAGGATATTTCCTGTACTCTTTGGGGTAAAAAGCTGCACTGTTCAGAGGGATAAGCAAAGCCTTAAATTCCTCCTCCTCAGGGAATTTGGCTGTAATACCACCAGTACATCACAGCTGATAAGTGCAGCAGTGCCACAGGCTTTCCACAAGCAGCATTTTTCATGCCAGCCGAGGTTTGGGGCTGGAGCAGTGCAGCTCCCATGAACCACAGGGAAGAAAAGCCAAACAGCACCAACCCAGAGCATGGCCTGAGTGTGCACCCAGGTGTGTCTGTGGAAGGTGATTCTGTCACGACTGAAGTGCCTCCACAGAGCCTTGGGCAGCTCCCCCTGTGCAATTCTGGGAGTCTCTTTCCTGAGGCAATTATATAGATATGTTTTCATAATTGAGGTCCAAAGGGAATAAAGGACTCTCAATAATGCATAAAAAACCAAGGACATAAATTCCCTCTCTGCCATAGCCTCAAACCTAATCTATCAAACCATGATATTTAATAAAAGTAATTACATGTATCGCAACACAAACCTTATTATTGTCCATAATTTAATTGTCCTTGCTTAATTATGGCCCTTTCTCCAGCTTATCTTTATAGCCTACTCCACAACGTTGACAGTACTCTGACTGTTTCATTTACAAACCCTAAACTTCCCTCCTGGGACAATTTGGGCACATTCTGACAGTCCCACAACTAAAGAAAATGCTCATGATTAATAATACATTATTACAGGGAATAATTTAACTTGCCCTCTCTGAAAAATGCATTTGTACAATGCTACCTTGTTCTCTAGAACAAACCAAATGTTTCATCCTGTTACTACATCTCACCACATTACCAGCCTATGTACTCAACTGGGCTTTTACTGTTTAGATTGTCCCTGCCACCTTTTAAGAGCAAAAGCAGCTACAAATTATTACTACAAGTGACAATCCACATGGATCCTCCTATCTCCTGCAATGCTCTGTTAGCCAATCACTGGAGCAATTCAAAATTTACAAATTACAAAGATGATGCTGATGATTATCTAATTTTAATCTACCCGAGTACATTTAATCTACCCTGAATAGATTAAAATTAATCAGTCTTTCACAAACACTTGCTACTTTTGATATGTTCCTTTTTTTTAAAACCAAAGTCAAATTACTCATAGAGATTTGCTGAAGAAATCAAGAGTTCTTTTATTTTTCAAATCATAGCAGTTGTTCATTATTCTTAACAGAGAAAGAATACTCATAAAGCAGAAACAATAAAACAATGTTCTAAAGTACTCTGAAGACTTCTCCAAGGAACCACACCTGAAACAATTACATACTTTACCTCAGATTTCCATTCTGCAAGCCTATCTTAATCAGTTTAAAAAATTATTGGCTACACAAATCAACTTAATCAAACTTCTATCAATACCTGTTATATTTTTGTGGTTGTATTATTATTACCTACTTTGCACTAAATAACCAACCTAAACCAATTCTAGAAAACAACTTCCCCCCTCCAAAATCTAACTCTAATATAATTATTTTAAATCAATAAATAGGTAATTATAACCTTCCTGAGTAATAGGGTCATTTCTATAAATCCACCCACTTACAAGGCAATTCACCAAAGTCAAGAAAACCTGTTAGGTTTACATTTTCCCTTCCTGAATTTTTGCAAGATTAATACATCTCAGCAGAGTCAATAATGCAATCAAAAATCTCACATCCAGAGGTAGTGAGCTGCTCTATGCCTTCTCCCTTGAAAACCCCATAGGACAATATCACAACCAATCTGGCACTCTGTCACACATCTTGGGTAAACACAAGTGACCAACTCCCAGACAATCATGTTCTCTCTCATGTTTTATTTTTGCTTAATTAACCAACTAGCCAACCATCCCTGCTTTAATAGATTACTGAAATAGATCTGAATTCTAATGCTAAAATAACAGATTATTTCTGTCTGTTAACATCTATTTATTGCTGTAGAATCTCCTGGTTATTTTTGTCATGCTTAGTGCTTCTGATTAATCTTTTTCCTCGGGGAAGAGAGGAGGCCCCAAAGAGGTGAAATGACTCTTTAATTTTTGCTATGCTGGAAAAAAAAGGAAGAAGGATTAATCAGATTAACCCACAGATGACTGACTTGAGCTAGTCTGGTTGAGTGAGTGACCAAGGACTCTCACCACAGTGGTTCCCACCAGAACACCTCATGACCCATTTGGGTATTGACAGAATTAGAAATAAGCTCAGATTAATACCCCTATCCTACAAAAATACTGGGAAATCAGGTTCAGCTGAGAGACTTGGGGTCATACCCACAGAGAGGGATTCATCCTCTTTGAAATGGTCTCTTCAAGGCACCATGGTCTGCTGCAGGACAAAGTCACATTGTTGCCAGACAAGTTGGAACTTTTGAGACTTCAGTCTCCACTAAGTACTGATTCATCGCCCACCACAAGCCCTGTGTTCCCCATCTTGTGACTTTATTCCATTTTACCTGCCCATCAGTTTAATTGAACCAGAAGTGCTGCTTTGTGCGCCCTGCCCTTGCTTTTTAAAATCACATTCATTATCACAAATGATCCCTCAGAAATCAAAGAAACGCTTTTTGCATTTTTGGCTCCTGGAAACCCCTGCTGTGGGCATAAGCCTTGGCAAGGAAGGAGAAGCTACATCAAACTGTCCCATCTGACCTCTGTCTATAGGAGGTTTTCCTCTCTCCAATGATCTAACACATTGTCTCCAACCTATACCAGGAAGAAAGGATGAAACCAGAGCAGATTGCTGTGTTATGACCTGTTTTTTCTCCACCCTGCCAAGATCTAGCTGTAGCTGTCCAAAAAATGTAAAGAAGTGGTTGGGGGAATTTCGCATTGGTGAGCCAGACTGTTTCAGAAGAGCTCCTCAGCAAGACAGGACTTAACCTCGGGATGACTTTGAAGTTTATAAAAAGAACTATCATTTAAGTGAAAGGCTCTAACCTCAACAGAATGAAATTGGATGGACAGGGAGATGCAGCTCTGTATGAAACAGAATCAAACTGACTCATTGCATTATGAATTTTTACTGCACTGTTCATGCTAGCACACTGTATTACTGACAGGCCCTCTGGCTCTCTGCAGTTTCACAGCCATGAAACTAGCCAGGGAATCCACCATCAACTGCAAAATTATAAGGCAGAAAGAAAAAAGAAATGGTGTGTAATATGTAATTGCAAGAAGCTGATTTTAATGGAATGAAGCTGGAAATCTAAGCTAAAGAGTAGGAATGGTTATTCCTTCCCATGCTGTTTGGCCACTGCCTCCCTGTCATTCATTCCTATCTACTGGGGCAACAGTTCACTACTGTACATCATTTAAAACCAATAAAAGAGGTGTGCAAGGAGAGCCAGGTCCAACCATGCGGAAAAGGAAAGTATTGAGAAGGAGATAATTAACTCTTTTAGCTTCCAGGCCATTTTATGCAGAGAGCAAAACAGAAAGAGGAACTGAATTCCCCAGTGGTCTCTCCAGTCAGGTTCGCTTGGCCCCTGCAGGGGTACAAGGTGCTTGCAAGGCCCCAGTGAGTGACAGCTGTATTCTCTGCCCTTGAGTTTTATAGCTGAAGCAGCACCAGGGGTCAAAAGCAGGTCTCTGAGCACTCCCCACCTCCACCCCAGCTTTTCAGCACACAGCATTTTGGGGAGGAACAGGGCAGCGACGTGAGGTTGAATCAGACACCAGGGAGCTGCTCCTGTGCTGTGCTCCCTGCAGAGAGCTCCAGCTGCAACACACGTGGCACAGGCCACTGCTGTTAATTATTTTATCTTTTAAAATGAGGGGGGAAGGTTGAGTAAATGAGATCAGATCAATCAAGTTTAAATTATTCAATGTCTTAATATTTCTGAAGGGGACTTCTATTCGATTACTGAGCTCCTCCATCTCCGTTAATAATTAAATAATACGCTGGCAGGCATAATGCAGCATGATCATTTCTATTATTACTCACAATGATATCTGGTGCTCCTCTACATATGTAGCTGGGAGTTAGTAGTTTTGGCAGATCATTAATTTCCCAGTTTAAATAAAAGCTTTAAAACCTTGTTGCCTGTAGTTAGGCCACCTCCAAATCTCATAAATGGTGGAGTGGGTAAGGCTGTGCTGATGTAAAAGAAGCTTTTACACAGCTGAAGACCTTGGTGAGATTCACCTTTGTTATTTAAACATGTGTTCTCCAGGAATCTTGCTATATTGTATTGTTTATTTATTACTGCACATTATATTTCAAAAGCTGTCGTAAATGAAAGCCTTTGGCTGAGAGTGAGACGTGCAGGGCTGCACTGGAGAGCCTGAGACAATGATTCCTTCCTTGGTTTTACAAGGGCTGGAATCACATAGTTACCAGCAATGACTCTCCACTCTGCTTTGTCTACGTGGGCCATAAAGCACAAGCCTCACCTTCAGACGTGCTGAAACTCAGGACCCAAGGCCTGTGCCTACTGAATCCTGCCAGCTGCCATGGTTTCAGAGGAACTACCAGTGATTATACACAATTGCTGACCACTGTTTACAGTCAGGAAGGATTTTTGGAGATGTTTTCCAAGAAGCCAGAAAGGACAATCACAATCCTTTTGTCCATGCTGCTTGCTGCAAACAATTCCAGATTATTTTGTCAAGATTATCTGTTACAACCTGACTGACTTGTATTCAAATTCAATCTATTTTATAACTTTTTCTGTCCCTTAAGGAAGATATTTTACTCTCTGATCACACCTTGTTAGGAAAATTCATTTTCACAGACCTGAATGGTGGGATCAGATTATTGTGTCATTACAACACCAAATACCTCTCAAAATCAAATCTGTCTTTACAACAAGGAACATGAACCATGTAACCAAGAGTTTCCTAAATTAATCTATTTTACCAAAAGAATTAACAAACCACTACATTTGGAAGCAGACAGGAAATGAAAAGAAAAATGGTATTCCCAAACTTGCTCACCTCCTCAGCCCCTGGGGTGGGTGTAACAGCCAAACTGGGCTCTGGAGCTAATTTCACAACATCAGCCAAGGACACATTCCTCTCAGCTACAAGTCCTGCAATGAGAATCACAATCCTGATCAATGCAAAAAAAACCACCATGAGGGATGTGCCTTGACTCCCTGGCAAATTAATACATTATATTGATCTTCCCTGGTCAGGTCAGCATTCAGGATTGAAGGATAAATGGCAGAAGATCTTACATTCCTATGAGCTAGCCTGGGAAGTGGGGAGACTCTGTGATTGAGTTTTTGCCAATCACTCAATTTGTACCCAGGGGAACAGGTAAGCAGCAGAAATGCTACTCAACAATATCAGTAATTATTTATGGTTACAACAGTACAGTAAACAGCAATGAAAATAGGTGGAAGCAAGGGATTCAAGGACAAAATGTGACTAAACATAAAAAACGAAGAGAAATGAAAACACTTTCAAGAAAATATGCTACAAATTATTAAATATATTTATATGTAAGGAAGCAGAATAATAGGAGAGTTCTGCTATGACAGCATTTTGCTTTGTGAGCAAATCACAGCATTTCAGGAGCTCCCTGCACACCTGCTAAGACCCCCAGGCTAACTGTGAAACACCCCAGATGCACACTGCAATATTATTAAAGAGCCCTTGCCATCAGTATTTCATTTATATTAGCAAGTCCTCACTTTTCCTCAATTCTTTTGCCTGGCCAAGAGTGAGGCAGCTGAAAGCATCAATCAAAAATGCCATTTAGGAACACACACAGCAAAGCCCCTGGGGCTTGGCTGGCAGAGGACGTGAGCCCAGGAGTGCCTCCATCAGCACGGCGTCCGAAATCCTCGCTCAAACGCTCCGTCAGCCAAGCCTCCACATCTCACATGCCAAGCTGGCAGAGGGAACACACATCTCCCACACACAAAATATCTGCACAAACTTTAGTGGTGGCTCCACATTTCACGTGCATTCAAGGACAAGGATTTTGCCTGCAGGGAGGCTTCTGAAGCAGCAGACTAAGTTTGAGTATAAAGAAAAACAATTTGGAAACTCAACCCACAAGATGCAAAAATGGCTTCAAATATAAAGATAATCCAAGTGTTTCCAGCGTCCTGCAAAAGCCTGCTTGGCCTGACAGAATCCTTGTGCCTTTTCTGGAGATCAAGAGGAGAGCATGCTGTGTGCATTAAACACACCAATTCAGGTTTTGGTCGTGCAATTTTCTGTGCTGTTTTCAAATGCAAGAGATCGTGTAGTCTTTAGATGCTATAATGTGACAGCAGAATTTGCTTCTAAAATTAAAACTTGGCTGATTTCTTCTGATGGCTGGTCCTATCTTTTCCATGCTTGTTGCAATCCCATGGTCTTACATGAACTTGTAGAAAAGTTACCCATCTCTTAAGGCCCAAATCCTAAAGATTCAAATTAAAAAAATTAAGGCTAACTGAAGTTGACCTAAACAAGGACTTCCACACTCCTTGAATTGTTTAGTTGTAAGATATTAGAAACCATTTTAAAATACATGGATAAAAATTAATGGTTGGGATTCAAGTCTTAAATAGCTGATGGCCCACCTTTAACACACACCCACATGCATTAATAGATACAAGTTAATTAACATGTAAATCCATGTTATATTACAGTGAGTGATGTAGTACAGCAAGCAAGATGACTGGTCGGCCTAAGAGTATCCCAAGATTCATGCGTTTACAAGAGAAAGTGCATGGAGCCCAGGATATCTTGCAGATCATTCAACTTGATGTTTAAAAGCTGGAAGATAAATATAGGTTCGATATTGGCCAGCAGTATTATAGGTCTTGTTGTCCCTGCCCTCACTGATCTTTTTCGCTAGGATAATTTTTTTGTTTGGTTTGGCCATTTCAGCAATGCAGTTTACAGCCCAGTCCCCAAACTGGGGCAGCAGGCTGCACCAGCACCTTCAGTTGGCTGTCTTCTTCCATGGATGTAACTACTCAACATGTGAAGGTCCTAGACCTTCCCTGGACAGTACCAACACTTCCCACACCCCATCCCTTGGTTGAGAAGTATCCACCAGGCTTGGAATTACAATGTAAATTATATTCTCTGGCCTAATCCGAGTGTACTAAGAGCAAAAATCCCTCTTTGACCTGTGTGACCTTCCAGTCAGATGCACACAGCTTTACTCCCCCATCATGCCCAACAACATTAATCCCAAGTATTAAGCAAGTGAAATCAAACTCCCTGAGTGCTCACAGGAGCAGCCTTACCATGGATTGCTCTGTAAGCACTTCCCAGACAAGCAGAGTTGGCTGTGTCGATGGTGAACACGGGCGCGTTGAACACGTCGGACAGGACCTGAGGAGCATCAAAGCATCCATGAAGCACAAAGGGGAAAAAAATCCTTCATCACTGCCCAGGAAAACGAGCAGCCGTCCCAAGTCCCAGCCAAGCACTCAGGAACCCGTGGAAAGAAGCACTGCAGGCAACAGTGAGGCCTGAACTTGTCACACCACAGGGTATTGGTAATTCTGAGCTAGAGATGTAACTCTAGCCAGGAAATGAAGCCCCATTTCTCCCCAGATCTCTTGGTTACAGTCCAGAGGAGCCCTGGTTCAAGCATTATTCCTCAAAAGCTCACACAGTCAGACCATGCTAAATGTCAGGGCAAGGTGACCTGCTCAGGAACCACATCTGGTGCCTGTTTGCTTTCATCCTGTGAAGGCTGATTCAAGTGGGAAGGAAAGAGAGAAGAAGCAGTCACAGCTCCTCAGTTCTAAACTTGGATAAAAATAAACCTCCAGCAATATGAAGGCCTGCTAAGCCTTTCTTCACCTCCACCATTCCCATCCTATTAGGGTCAGCAGGGAGAATGACACAGGAGCTGATTGCGTAGTCTCTAAATTTCCCAGTTTTCCTGTTTTTAAGGGAACCTTAGCTATGAAGATACATTGAGATATTTGGCTTGAGTAATACAAATAAAATTTTACAGGCAAAGAAATTATTATGGTATCCAACAGATACTAAAGTTATTCGACCATGCATCATTCTGCATTGAAATCAACACCATCAGCACCTGACATCCCCTGGGTGCATCTGCTCTTCCCCACAGTTTAGGTTTAGAAAAACAATAGAGAATGGGAAAAATTAATACATATTTGGATAGGGACATAGGAGGTTTAATAACTCCTTTCCAAAAACATTTTCAACAAATGCTTTCCATTCTTGGACTGCAGATACAGATAGCCCTTGGGCTGAGCAATGCAAGAACCAGGAAACAATTCAGATATAACCTGTGCTGGTTTTATTACTTCTGCCAAAGGGAAAAGTGTCTCTCCTGACTTAAATCCATACAATTGAGTCTAAAATAAAGCCAGTATGTCCAGAATTCCAAACCATTTGGATTAGTGCAAGGCAACCCTGATCCTGGAATTTATAACCCTGCTGTGGATGGACCCCAGGGCTTCATAAAAAATTACTAAGAAATTCAATCCATACCACCTATAGATATATGTAACATGTGAAATTTCTAAAGGATTTTTCTTTCTCTGAAATTTTGTGGAGAATTTTCAAATCAAAAGTTTTTAAAATTGCAGATTTTCACAATTTAAATTAAGGTGGCCATTTGCTAACTAAAACCCAATTTAAGCCTGAGCTTATACACTTAAAACTGTCTTTTGGTAAGGCAGAAAAGTCAGGATTGGCTAATTTCATTTGTAAGCAAGCATTGAGCAGCACATGAATGCTAGAGGAAAAAAATGAAAAATAAATAATGGTCATCTATTAAAATGTCCTCTGGAAATTGTAAGGTCACAGAGCTCTAGTCCCACTGCCCATCCTACCACCCAATGCTACCACTTTGCTTCAACACATTCCCCATCTACATCTTCACCTCATCTCTAGCAGGCATTTCTTAAGTTTAAATTGTACAATCTTTTGGACAACAAATTTTTTTTGTATCTCTGAGGAGCCTCATACAATGCAGCTTTATACTGATTGCTAAGAAGTGCTGCAATACTACAAATAACATGTTAACAAATAACATTTTTTTACCACGATTACTAAATAAAAATTATTCAAACTTCATATATTTGGTAAGTCATTTGGAACTGTGGTATCTCTCACAAATAACTTTAAAAGAAACTGTTAGAGGTTCTACTGCTTAAGATAATTCACTCTGTTCCATGTGGTCATTAATCAAGCACCACATATGTTATAAAAAGCTTCCTGGAACTGTAGAGAAAGCTGCCCTACTAAATTTTTTTTTAACAGATTTTCCTAAGTTATCTCCTATGTGGTGTAAAATGTAGGAGTTCCTGAACGTTGATTAATTAAATGATAGTCTTTTGTAGCCCTGGAACAAATTATCCAAAATTGACCATGATAAGGGTGGAAGCTGTTATTCTTTATGCAACTGATATGGTTTCTGAGGTTTTGATTAAATTAAAAAGAAAGATCCAATTAACCAGTGATTGAATTAAGTGAATGACACTGTATTGATCATATTATTTTAAGGCACTTCTAATGAATTTTAAAACCAGCTGAATTGTTATACGTGAAGAGCAAGAACCCAGCCAGAACTCTCCCAATCCCATGATTTTTCAGCTGTGTATGTTACCAAATTATGTATTTTAAGAACATTTGTTTCTCTGCCTTCCTTGCACAGCAAGGAGATCCTCCTGGCACCCAGACTGAAATACAGCTTTAAAAACAAACTCATCTGTGAACCCAATGTTTCCTGATGTACCTTTAGCAGAATTACTCCTGTAAGGACCAATGTTTTAAGCAATTAACCAATCAGTTAATTTTCCGGTGTCACATTCTTAGGCAAAGCAACCAAAGCAGATGAAGAGAAGTGACATCTGCAGGCAAAACATGCCAAATTTGCTGCTCCCCAATCAGCTGTACAGGCAGCAGTTACACACACACGTGGTTTAGATGCCTTAGGAGAAAACAGCTTTTTGCTTTTCTGCTCTTCAACTTCCATTTAATCCAGCTCAGGTTTTGTGGAGCAGAGAATTGACTGCAATTGCCAAAGAGAATGGTGTGCAGCTGAGGCTGGCCTTGACTCTCTGGAACTGACGGGAAGGGACTGGAATCTCCAGAAAGCATTTCACCCTGTGTTTGGAATCTCCAGGAAACATTTCACCCTGTGGTCACTATGTGATAGATGAGCAATGCGATGGTTGACTCTCACAATTAAAAGGCAAATATTTTAAGTTTTTTAGATTTGTAGTTATGTTTTACCCCACTTTGCATTGTTATCACAGGGTAACCTGGGTAGTGAAACATTTCACCCTGTGGTCACTATGTGATAGATGAGCAATGCGATGGTTGACTTTCACAGTTAAAAGGCAAATATTATGTGTAAGTTTTATAGATTCATAGTTATGTTTTACCCCCCTTTGCACTGTTATCATGGGATGGCCTGGGTAGTTGGGAACTTTGGGAGTGTTGGCTCATTATGGCAACAACTGACCTCAAGCTGTAAGAAAGTGATTTCCATCACTGGACAGCGAAGAAGGAGTCAATGGACAAGACTTTGGAAGGGGCTAAAGGGTTAAAAGTTTTCCCATAGTGGGAAAAAATCCTTTGCTCCTTGAGTGGAGAAGGAGTCAATGGACAAGACTTTGGAAGGGGCTATGGTGGGAAAAATGGTGGGAAAAAAATCCTTTGCTCCTTGCTGTATTATTTTCTCTATTCAGTTTTCTGTTGTATTTTTATAAGGTTTTAATAAACCTTTTAAATTTTTGGGAGTATCACTTTTCACAGCCATCGCCAGTGATAAGACTATCCCAAGATTAGAACTTCTGGTGTCCATGTCTACCTGCAGGTCAGTGTTGGAGCCTGTGGTTAAAGGGGAGTTGGTCAAGGCAGCCCCTGGAGCCCAGAAAGCTCCTGGGATCACCCAGAAGGAGATTTTACATTTGTTAAGTTAAAACAACAGACGGGATCTCCCGACCACTGCAGGGCTGACAGGTAGTAACCAGACATCCCCTCACAGATGAGTGGATTTGGGCAGGATGAGTCCCAGCCCAGATGTCTCTCTCTGCACTGTCAAGGCCAGGTGAGAGGCCTCTCACCGTTTGAGAGCCAGGCTTTGCCAAGTCTCAGTGGGCAGAAGCAGAGAGCACACGGTTCTCTGCTCTCCACAAGATGGATGAGGCATCTTAGCCAGGCTGGATGTGCAGCAGCAGCAAAAGAGGAGGTTGGGAACAAACAACAATCCAGCAAAAGTGTAGCCTCCTTCCAACAAATTATATGCTGCTAATAAGTAACACAAAGGGGGTTGAGGTTCGTATGAGGTTGTTTGGTTTTGTTGTTGGTTTTTTTCAGTGTTTGTCACCAGCATAATTCCCCTTCAGTTGAAAGAAATCAATGGTTCAACTTTGACCTGAATGACAAAAGTAAATAAAATCTCAGGTATTACATAAGAAGTTTCTTTGTGATTTCTTTGCTGATTGATTTGATTTAAGTGATGAGACCTGGAAATCACCAGTGCTTCAGATACACAATCATAAAACCAGTCAAGTGTGAAAAAAACTCTAAGTTCAATGTAAAATTAATACTGGGCTAAAGGTTTTCACACTAAACCTGAAGAAAAACCCCAAAGATCTGCAGCAGATTCACAATTCCATATCCACACCTTCCTGTGCAGATGCAGTGATTTGGATTCACTACAGCAAAATAAAAATGGAGATGTAACTGCAAGCTCAGTTCAGAACTTAATTTTCTACTTACCTGTAAGATCTTTTTATTGTGGGATGCACCACCAGTAGCCAAAATCCTTGTTCTAGGCACTGCAATGCAATAAAAAGTACAAATCAGACTGACAGTGCATATGGTCAAGATTTGTTCTACTGAACCAAGCACAGTGAGAACAAGGAGGTGGGAGTCAGAGTTCTCTCTCTGTACCTCTAATTTACCTTCTGTAAAAAAGGAGATAACACTAATTACCCACTTTTCCAAGGCACATTAGAACTCTTCCTTAGAAGAGGCAGCATAAATGTTGCAGATCTATTATTATTGTAGTGCTATCAATGTCAGGGAGATTTGCAAAGGAGATACAGAGTAAGAAAGGCAGTGTTATTATATTACAGCTCTGGTTTGTGGTCAGATTGGTTTGGCTCATAGCTGTATATATACAAACTGACAGATAACCTTTAAAATCAGCAGTATTTTCCAAACTTATCTCCTCATGACGTTCACAGTCAGAGTTCACTGAAACCTGGGCAATCCCTGTGTGCTTCAATGACAAGGAAGTGTGTCAAAAGGCAATTAGAGATGGTCTGAATTGCTTCACTAATAAAAAAATATCCGAATCTTCATCCAGTGCAAACCCACAGCTTTGGGGGAGTTAAAAACACATCCTGTGTTCTTTAGGCTGGTGCCTAAAGAAACCCATCCTTTCTTCTACATTACTGAATGTCTGCCTCACCATTTATTTTTGTGTGTGCTCCTCTGGAGCACGGCATGCAACAAGCCACTGAGCTATCCATAGGAACAATTCAGCAAGGAATTATAAACAGAAATAGTCCAAATGTTCTCATTGAAGTTCTTCAAAGGCTTAAAACAAAATAAATGCATAAACACTTTGATATCATACATTAAAAAAAACTAAACACTTAATTACCCTGGTTTATGACAATAATAAGTGATACCATCATGTATACCCTCCCAAAAGGGAAATTTCACTGTGGTTATTGTTTTGTTATCTTAACTTCCTTTTTAATAAAAGCTAAAGATAATTTATTTCTCACAAGGCAAAGTTGGGCAGCTTACACTGATGCCCTAAATAACTTATTGTCATTTATCCTTTCAAGTATCTTAATGACAAAAGCCCTGAAGACAGAATTAGAAATAATCAGAAGATGCAGCTCACCACACCATTTCCAGACCCCCATCTGGGTGCTCAGGTGGAGCCCAAGACCCAGACAAAGCATTGCATGGGGGACCCTATTTTGCTGATAAATTTAATTTTATTTTCCTCTTTGGAGGATATTCAGTGATGCACAAATTGGGTTTTAAAAGCCATTAGGATCTCTGTCAATGTCAGTAAACAAATAAAACAAACAGCAGAGTGATTCCTCAGGGAAAACAAGTTTCAATTATACCAACACAGAGTGACAGATTCCTGCCAAGATTATCACAACAACATAATAGCACAGAAACCAGTGAAAAATAACTAGCAAGCCTCTGTTCCTAGAAACCAAACCAAACTCTAAATTATTTGCCTGGTAGTCACAATTCTGTCTTGCTAAACCTTGTTAAGAATATAAATTCTTGCAGAACTACCACATCCAATGTGAAAACACCACATTTCGGAGACAGACAGCAGGACAGGATGAGAAACAAACACACAGGCTGCACTCCCCAGCAGCCCAAACCAAAGAATAAGCCAGGCTTGCTCTCCAGTGCCTCTGGAAAGGGGCCAAGGCCACTGCTGGGCTCCCACCATCAGGAAAGAACAGTGGGCAACATGAAAATGCCAAAGCCAAACAGCAACCACCCCTGTGAGAGCAGCAAACACAGCTCAGCCCAGCTGCTTCCTGCACTGCCATCTGTGTGCCAGCTCTCTGTCTCAGGGCTTCTGCTCCACAACCTCCCAAATGTTTGCATTTGGAATCCAGGAACGGACACGAGACTTTCTCCTTGCTAGGTCAGCACCTTCAGGTTTTGGCTGCGTTATAAATTTGTGTCATCACTGTAATTCAAGCCACTTCTATATCAATAAATTATCAGAAATATAGGGGCAAATTTACAGTGCATTTTCTAATTGATACAGGCCCCACACAAGTAAGCATTTACCCCACTATCAGTTGAGTTAGGTGTCTTCCAAGAGGCCAAACCAGATCTTAAGTCTAAAATTGTCTAACATGCTGCTATCTGCACACCCTAATCCAGACTAATTATTTTGCAGCAAAACACTAAGAAATATTTCAGAATATATCTAACCTACTTGATAAAATAAACTAACTTAATTTACTCTGTGGAGTTTCTAACATTGGTTAGACAGCTCATGTGCTAAATTGGATCCACTCATGAGTACAAACATCCACAGACACACAGTAAAAGCACCCAAAAACCTGTGCTGAAGCTACATGAAGGGCAAAGCCATTCATTCTCCTCCTCTTTGAGTAAATAAGACAGCTCACTCCACTGAAACACATCCCAGCAGGTTATAGCCAAGTGAGCCTTAGCCATCACTGTGGGATGACAGACTCTGAGCTGCTCTACAGGTGGGACTGATCCATCCAGGCCACATGGAAGCAAATCTCAGGTGAATGTGGTGCTCTGCAAGTGGCCAGAGCAGAGACAACATCATTCCTCCTTAAGTTTCAGTCACTTCTTGCAGACAAGGATTAGGTCCCTAAAGAACTGCTGGAATTTGCTGAATTTTAGGTTTACTTCTTATTTCAGTCTCTCTCCAGAGAACAAGGAAAATACATTGATCACTGATTTCAGGGATTGTCTTTTTAATGCCAATAGTGTGTGCTTTACTGAACAGTGGACATTTGCTCTGAGATGTGTAATTGGATACATCTTATAAATAAATAAAGCAAGCCCATCATTTATGTATAAAAGGCATTAACAGAGACATTGTTCATCCATCACCAGCAGTGTTCTCAGCCAGCTGTGTTTGAATCTGTCAGGAGCTACCATCCATCCCCTACAGCACTGCACAAAGAGAACTTCACAGTGTTACTAAAAAATCCCCAACAACAACAACGGTAGCAAACATAATTCAAGAATTCAATTCTTTAACAGTTGAGAGAGTCAGATTTAAACATCTTTTAATTAAAAGCTCTCTGCATACTACCTAACCAACCAGTTTATTTCCTTCTTATTGAAAAGCTAATTATTTTTTAGAGAGCTGATGCTGAATTTTAACCCTGTCTAGAAAGTGTTTGCAGCTGCACATGGCATGGTGTTGTTCTGCCACATGCACATCTTCTGGAGATCCATTGTCTTCTGTGGAACCTGGTGACTGGCCTAACAAAACAGAGTTAAAATAATGGTTCTCACTGGACAGGAGGAGGGAGGAAGCCTCAGGTAAAGAAGTTTGTTTATGTGGGAAGTCTGAGCAAAAGGCACTTGCTCACAAGGCTGAGAAGGCAGCACACTCTGTGGACTACACACACAAGAATACTCATTGTGCCTTCCACGGAGATCCAGCAAGAACTGAGTGATGTTAAAGTTCATCTCCTGTCTCTTGCTTTCAGCCAAAGTGTTGCTTTTATTGAAAGGGACATAAGGAAAAGGAAAAAAACTGTCACTGAGAATAGAGAGAAATTACAATTATATATGTTCAGCATTGTCAGTGGTCCCAAAAAAACTGCAGTCCTGCATCATTGTATATTTACAATCAGAGAGGAGGGGCAGGCACTGATCCCTGCTCTGTGGTGGCAGTGACAGAACCTGAGGGAATGGCCTGAAGTTGCGTCAGAGGAGGTTTAGGCAGGATATTAGAAAAAGGTTCTTCACCCAGAGGGTTTTTGGGCACTGAACAGGCTCCCCAGAGCAGTGGTCACAGCACCAAACCTGACAGAGTTCAAGTGTTTGGACAATGCTCTTGTTCACATGATGTGACTCTTGGGGATGGTCCTGTACAGAACCAGGAGCTGGACTGTGATCCCTGTGTGTCCCTTCCACCTGAGGGCATTCTGGGATTCTATGATAATAAATAGATAATAAGAAATATAATTACATTGGCAAACTCACACCTGTCAGAAGGGTAACACTAATAATTGTCACCAAAAGTCTTCTGCCACATCAGTCGTGCAGGGAGACTGGACGTAGAAATTCAGCCTCCTGTCCCACCAGGAGTGGGTCAGGTCAGTCTGGTGACAGATCCAGATGCTGGAATTGGTGGGATGACTCCTGACCTCAGGGCTTTTGGGTCTTGCTGTATTTCAGCAGGACAGAAACGGTGGGTCTGTCACTGTGCCACTACAGAATTTTGCTGGTTCGTGCACCTCAAAGTCCAAAACCAGATTTTGACCTTCCATTTTGAGGCTGAAAACCCTTCAACTTTTTCATCTAAATTTTCAGTGCTACCCACAGGCCTGGTTTGTACCCCAAACTCCAGGCACATGCTGACTTTCAAAACTCTTAAAACACAATTCCAAGAATTCATCCAAACAGCTTCATAACATCTTTCTCATCACAACTGAATCCATAAATAAAACAGAACAATAGAACGTGTATTCAAAAAGCAGCTGATTATGCACATGAACCCACGCCAGTTATAAGCATGATTGCAAAATAACTGCAATTTACAATTTGCAAGCAACAAGAAAAGCCCCTCCTTTATTTCTCTGATTAACTTCAAAGACTATAATTTTTTAAACAGTATTTGCTAGCTTTTCATTCAAGGAAAAAACAAAAACTAAAAAAACAGACAAAACTATATGGGTTTTTTGTCCCATTTATCAAACAAATATTCAAAAATCACCCTCCTTGCTTATTAACTCTTCCAAAATTCATGTTAATCTTCTTTATTCATATAAAGATGCTGAAATTTAACTCCTGCTATGGTAAAATATTTTTCTTATCTAAACCCTTTGTAAATATGGGTTTAGATAAGAAATAAACCCTTTTATGTCCCTGAGACTTCTAGGACTGGGTCCTAAACAATATCTACATGAATGTGGCAAAAGTAATGGAAAATGGAATGCACCCTTTTTCTCTTTTCCCTTTTTAATTTAGACAAACACAACTGTCCAAGTAAAAGCCATTTAAAAATTATTTTTTAGAAGTGTTTCTGACTTCCACTTTGAAGCATCAGCTAATTTATTAC